TTTATGTGGTGAATTACGTTGATAGACTTGCATATGTTGAACCAGCCTTGCATCCCCCGGATGAATCCTACTTGATCATGATGAATAAGTTTTTTGATTTGCTGTTGCAATCGGCTTGCCTATATTTTATTGAAGATTTTTGCATCTATGTGCATCATGAATATTGGCCTGAAGTTTTCTTTTCTTGTTAGGTCTCTGCCGGGTTTTGGTATCAGGATGATGTTCGTCTCATAAAATGATTTGGGAAGGATTCCCTCTTTTTGGATTATTTGGAATAGTTTTAGAAGGAATGGTACCAGCTCCTCTTTGTGTGTCTGGTAGAATTCGGCTGTGAACCCATCTGGACCTGGGCTTTTTCTGTGTGGTAGGCTCTTAATTGCTGCCTCGACTTCTGACCTTGTTATTGGTCTATTCATAGTTTCAGCTTCCTCCTGGTTTAGGCTTGGGAGGACACAGGAGTCCAGGAATTTATCCATTTCTTCCAGGTTTACTAGTTTATGTGCATAGAGTTGTTTGTAATATTCTCTGATGATGGTTTGAATTTCTGTGGAATCTGTGGTGATTTCCCCTTTATCATTTTTTATTGCATCTATTTGCTTGTTCTCTCTCTTTTTTTAAATCAGTCTGGCTAGTGGTCTGTCTATTTTGTTGATCTTTTCAAAAAACCAGCTCTTGGATTTACTGATTTTTTGAAGGGTTTTTTGTCTCCATCTCCTTCAGTTCAGCTCTGATCTTAGTTATTTCTTGTCTTCTGCTGGGTTTTGAGTTTTTTTTTATCTTGCTCCTCTATCTCTTTCAATTTTGACGATAGGGTGTCAATTTGGGATCTCTCCATTCTCCTCATATGGGCACTTATTGTTATATACTTTCCTCTAGAGACTGCTTTAATTGTGTCCCAGAGATTCTGACATGTTGTGTCTTCATTCTCATTGGTTTTGAAGAACTTCTTTATTTCTGCCTTCATTTCATTGTTTACCCAGTCAACATTCAAGAGTCAGTTGTTCAGTTTCCATGAAGCTGTGCAGTTCTGGTTGATTTCTGAATTCTGAGTTCTAACTTGATTGCACTATGGTCTGAGAGGCTGTTTGTTATGATCTTAGTTGTTTTGCATTTGCTGAGCAGTGCTTTACTTCCAATTATGTGGTCAATTTTAGAGTAGGTGTGATGTGGTGCTGAGAAGAATGTATATTCTGTGGATTTGGGGTGGAGAGTTCTGTAAATGTCTATCAGGTTTGGTTGCTCCAGGTCTGAGTTCAAGTCCTGGATATCCTTGTTGATTTTCTGTCTGGTTGTTCTGTCTAATATTGATAGTGGAGTGTTAAAGTCTCCCACTATTATTGTGTGGGAGTCTAAGTCTCTTTGTAAGTCATTAAGAACTTGCCTTATGTATCTGGGTGCTCCTGCATTGGGTCCATATATGTTCAGGATCGTTAGCTCTTCTTGTTTTATCGATCCTTTTACCATTATGTAATGTCTTTCTTTGTCTCTTTTGATCTTTGTTGCTTTAAAGTCTATTTTATCAGAGATGAGAATTGCAACTCCTGCTTTTTTTTGCTCTCCATTTGCTTGGTAAATCTTCCTCCATCCCTTTATTTTGAGCCTTTGTGTATCCTTGCATGTGAGATGGGTTTCCTGGATGCAGCACACTGATGGGTTTTAGATTTTTATCCAATTTGCTAGTCTGTGTCTTTTGATTGGTGCATTTAGTCCATTTACATTTAAGGTTAATATTGTTATGTGTGAATTTGATACTTCTATTTTGATGCTAAGTGGCTGTTTTGCCCGTTAGTTGTTGTAGATTCTTCATTATGTTGATGCTCTTTAGCCTTTAGTGTGATTTTGGAATGGCTGGTACTGGTTGTTTCTTTCTATGTGTAGTGCCTCTTTGAGGAGCTCTTGTAAAGCAGACCTGGTGGTGACAAAATCTCTGAGTACTTTCTTGTTCGCAAAGGATTTTATTTTTCCTTCACTTCTGAAGCTCAGTTTGGCTGGATATGAAATCCTGGGTTGAAGGTTCTTTTCTTTAAGAATGTTGCATATTGGCCCCCACTCTCTTCTGGCTTGTAGTGTTTCTGCCGAGAGATCTGCTGTGAGTCTGATGGGCTTCCTTTTGTAGGTGACCCGACTTTTCTCTCTGGCTGCCCTTAGTATTTTCTCCTTTATTTCAACCTTGTTGAATCTGACGATTATGTGCCTTGGGGTTGCTCTTCTTGCGGAATATCTTTGTGGTGTTCTCTGTTTTTCCTGCATTTGAGAGTTGGCCTGTCTTGCTGGGTGGGGGAAATTTTCCCGGTTAATGTCCTGAAGAGTATTTTCCAGCTTGGATTCATTCTCTTCGTCCTTTTCTGGTACACCTATCAAACGTAGGTTAGGTCTTTTCACATAGTCCCACATTTCTTGGAGACTTTATTCATTCCTTTTTGCGCTTTTTTCTCTAATCTTGGTTTCTCATTTTATTTCATTCAGTTGATCTTCGACTTCAGGTATTCTTTCTTCCGCTTGTTCAATTCGGCTATTGAAACTTTTGCATGCTTCGCAAAGTTCTCGTATTGTGTTTTTCAGCTCCTTTAATTCATTCATATTCCTCTCTAAGTTATCCATTCTTGTTATCATTTCCTCGAATTTTTTTTCATATCTTTTTTCAAGGTTCTTTGTTTCTTTGCATTGATTTAATACATGTTCTTTTAGCTCACAAAAGTTTCTCATTATCCACCTTCTGAAGTCTAATTTTGTCATTTCGTCACAGTCATTCTCTGTCCAGCTTTGTTCCTTTGCTGGTGAGGAGTTTTGGTCCTTTCTAGGAGGCGAGGTGTTCTGGTTTCGGATGTTTTCCTCCTTTTTGCGCTGGTTTCTTTCCATCTTTGTGGATTTATCCACCTGTTGTCTGTGCAGTTGCTGCCTTTTCGATTGGGTCTCTGAGTGGACACCCAGATTGTTGGTGATGAAGTATTTTTGTTACTTGGTTTTTCTTCTACCAGTCTAGCCCCTTCGCTGTATGACTGCTGAGGTCCACTCCAGGCACTGCTAGTCTGGGGTGCACCTATAGCAGCTGCGGAACAGTGAGGGATGCTACCAGTTTCTTTTTCTGCTATCTTTCTCCCAGGATGATGCCTGCCACATGTCAGTCCTTTGGATATAGAGGGATCAGGGAGCTGCTTGAGGAGACAGTCTGTACTTTTTAGGAGCTGAATGGCTGAGCTGTGATCTCTGTTGTTCTTTCAGGGCTGTTAGGCTGCTATATTTAATTCTGCTGCAACAGAGCTCATTAAAAAACCCTTTTTTTCTCAGATGCTCTGTCTTGGGGGGGTTTGGGCTTTATTTTTGGATGTTCGTTGAGGTGTCCTGCCCAGCTAGGAGGCAGTCTAGTCACTATTTGCCTGCCGAGGCTCTGCTCTACTGTTGTGAGGTTCGCCCTGTTGCTGCAGGCTCTGTTCTTCTTCTGCGGTCTTCGCCCTGCTGCCACGGGCTACACCCTGCGGTGGAGTCTCTCTGTTGTATCGGGTTGCCTCGGCAACATCAGGGTGCGTCAGTAGTGGGCATGTATCTCAGTAGGGGCGGATTGCCTATTGAGGCATTATTTACAATAGACAAGGTATGAAAGCAATCAAAATATCCATCAACATCTAGGTGAATAAAGAAAATGTTAGATAGCTGTGTGTGGTGATTCATGCCTATAATACCAGTGCTTTGGGAGACTGTGATGGAAGAATTGCTTGAGGACAGGAGTTCAAATCAGCAAGTGTAATATAACAAGACTCCATCTTTGCAAATAAGTTGGGCATGGTTGTACACACATGTAGTCTTAACTACTTGGGAGGCTGAGGTAGGAGGATTATTTGAACCTAGGAGTTTGAGGTTCCAATGAGCTATAATCTTATCACTGCACTCCGGCCTGGGCAACAGAGAGAAACTGTATCTTCAATAATAAAACAATTCAGGCTTTTGGAAAAAGATAAAATCTTGCCATTTGCAAAAACATAGATCAACCTTGAGGATATTATGCTGAGTGAATTAAGCCAGATGCAAAAAGATAAACACTGAGTTATCTATGTTACACATTGAATTTTTAAAAGGGTTTGAAGTATAGTTACATTAAGTAGAATGTTAGTAATCAGAAGATGGGGTTTGTGGTAATGAGGTGTTGGTCAAATGGTGCAAAACTGTTTTTATGATTGAATGCTAGAAACCTAATGTACAGCATGGAGACTATAGTTAATAATAAGGTATTATAATAGTGAATTTTATTAAGAAAGTATATCTTCAATGTTCTCATCACACAGACAAAATACAGTAACTATAGGAAGTGATGGACATGTATTTAGCTTGAATGTGGTAATAATTTCACAAGGTACACATATGTCAAAACATTACATTGAGCATCTTAAATATATATAATTTTATTTATCAATCATTCCCCAATAAAGGTGAGAAAATGTTAAGCATGAGTAAAATATCACACTGCATGTAAATTTTATTTAAAAGCCTTTAAAAAATAAATACTAGATTAAACATAAAATCCAAATTGAGATAATTTTTTCAGTCAGGAAAGTCTGAATGAACAACCATGGCATAAAAGATAGAATCGGATATTTAGTTAAAGTACCTTTTATAAATAAGAGTAGATTAAAACATTTTCAAAAGTAAAAATATTGAGAAATTTGATTACCAGTGGAAGATTGTTAAGAATATGCTTCAGGACAACAAAAATATTTTTTCTACCTAGGTCAAATGAAGGTAAGTGTGTAAAAGTCTTGATAGCGGAATATCAACTCATGGTGGACACTGAACTAAAGAAATTACATAGTCCTTAAATGCATCCATTTCAAAGGTATTTAAAGGTAGTCAAAGTGTAATTCCATACATTTTATTTAAATGAGATAAAATAAATTTTGGATTATTTAAACAATTCATAGGATAAGATTTTATTTTTTAGAAATTTTTTTATTACTAACTTGTTAAAAGTTTATAGCACTCTGACTGCGTATTTTGAAGAGTATCACCTATTCTTTTATCAGAGCTGATTTGTACAAATGGAGCAATGGTAGCATAGGCATTGACCACCAGGTTCTGCACATTCAGGATGACTGGGTTATACATCCATAACAAGGTTGAAGAGAATGAGATGAAGACATCCACTGAATACATGACCACAAAGAAACTGACCAGCAACAGGATGGTCTGAGTTGCTTTTTTCTCTGGTGAGGATCTTGGGGATAGACTGGTGCTGTGGAGGTGCTGGGATCACCTCTGATGCCTGAATAAAAGGATCACCATGTACATGCCTAAGAGCAGGGTAATCCCCAAAAGGCAGAAATCTCTTGATATTGTCAGAGTAAAAAACACTCCCCTGATGATGGAGTTCATGGGAGAAAGTGAGCAGTATTTAGTCACCTGAAGCAGATTGGTCTGGGACATGTTGGAAGAAGCCACAGTGAAGAGTATTATGTTACTACTGAGAGACAAATTGAGTGGCCAAAACAAAAAGATGACACTGACAATGTTATTTATGGATCTATATTTAAATCTTGCCAACCAGACATTTCTAGGGCTGATGGTGCTGGCTTGGTGGACACTCAGGAGGCAGGTGGCACGGATACTTAGGCCCCTCATCACTCTGTTTATGTAGAACAATGACTTACATTTGATGTAATTCCCAAAATGTGATTCAAGCAAACCTGAAGGCAAAACATCCACTACAGTGAGGAACATCAGTACATGAATGAAGGCCAAGTGACAGCTGATCAGGTCATGGGGCTTAGGTTTGTGATGCTGAATGAATGTGAAAATGTGGAATAAAAGAAATGAGATGTTGGCTGAAAGTCCAATGGCAGCTTGGGGGAGAAAAGGCATTTTTAAGCACAAGGTAAGTGGAAAGTGTGTTCATCTTAATGGCAAAGAAACATATTCCATAAGCTGGGAAAAAATAAGATTTCTCATTACCAGTGATTTTTTCTTTAGTGATCCATATGATCATCATCATTTTAATTTTTACCACTTCTTTTTGGTTAGCTCTGGCTACCTCATATTCTGCATAAGCCAGCCTTGGCACTATTTTCTACGTTAAATAACTTGTATAAATAAAACACTGACACATCTAGGCCTGTGTACAGTGCACAATTTCTCAACTTCTATCGTACCAAGGCTTCTCTTCCTAGAAAGGGTATCATTGCCTTATATTCCTTCATATTATATTTAGCACCCAGAATTGTGAGGGACATGTAAAATTACTAAGTAGTATTTATACAGTTGAAGTGAATGGTAATGCAAAAAGAATAACTAAAATTAATAATTTTTAAAATCCACTTGGCACTTTCTCACATCCCATCACTTGGACACATACTATTCCTCATGACTCTTAGACTCTGGTGACTTTGCTGAATCCTCTAAAATAATTCATGATACTCTCCTTATTTTTAATCAGAAAATTAGCGATCCTGATTTTATCTGAAACCTTATATTTCCATTGCCATGAATTGTAATATATTTGCAGTCTGGGAATTCACATGACATCTTTAGGGGTCAATATTGTGCTTACCAAATTCTACTAACTTCATCACCTAAAAATGGTCCTGGTTTTCTCCAACTTTACTGTCCATCCCAGAGATGTCTTATGAGATTCTCTTCCTCTCAGTACAAGATTGCCACCACTCGATTGTCAAGAAAAAAAAAAATCACATTAATCACTTTATGACAACCATGAGGTTGCATCAAAATAACCTATGTTGATCCTTTTCCTAAGATATCACTTACTACAGGCATACTCTCATATGCCCAGAAAAAAATAACCTCTCTAATAACTAATTCCCCTAAGGTTTTCTCAGAATATCTCTAATACCAGAATATCTTGTAAATTTTCAGAAAAGAATTTTGCAGTTGCTATTTCATGTTACTTAACTTGAATTTAGGCATCATTTTTTGGCAACTGAATTTAATCCAGGACTTAGAACAGTTTAGCTTCATGACATGAAGAAATAGAAAACTGCCATATTTACTCAGATTCCTATGAGATGTGTATCCAACTATACAGTCCAGGTCACTTATCACTCTCCTGTCCCATAAATATACATAAGCAGACAATGCCAAATTTTTGACAATTCACATTTCTGCCTAATAATCACAAAGTATTGGCTGGAGTAAAAATTGCTCTAAAGTTGCCTAATGTATATGATTTTATAGATTTTTAGTGTCTACATGTTGAGTGATTTCTTCAAAGGCCTACTCTAGTAAGGGAACACATTTATTTTAGTTGCAAGAAACAAAATACAGAGAGCGCCTAGCAGCATACATTGGCACTGTTAGCAGTTTGATTGTACTAGGAATTTGGAACCAGAAGCAGTGGTGGAATCATATTAAATTAATAGCTTAATGTTCTTCAGATATTAAACTAACACTCTAGTACTACTAACAGAGTAGTTGGACATGGACTAATCCTATGTGTACAATGTTTTATTAACTATCTTTATGTAATTTTATTAGTATATTTGCTAGGTTACAAGCCATACATTAGAAACAGACAGTACAAATAATTAAAGTAATGTCAAAAATAATTTCATTATTTCTTTTCTTCACTACCAACAGATATTCAGCTCATCTCCTCTAATTCATATCCTTCACCCTGGAAGTGACCATGACATACTAAAAAGGACTTAATTTTCTGGATTCTCAAATGTTATGTTTCTCCATTACAATTTATAAGATATGGCTACTGAGCCAGGCCAGGAAAGAACCATGGTTCCCATGGATTATGGTGTAAAAATAATTGATTTTAATAACTCATTTTTATTATGCGTTTAACTGTCATCTCAAATGTCAGAACTAAACTGATGGTTGCTTTCAACATATCAAAAAGTTATTGATTCTTATCCACATTTTAAACTTTCAGAAAGTTTAAAAAACATAATTCTGACAACTCCATTATAAAAAAGTCACAGGATTTGCTAAAATATGTTAACAAATTGGAAGTCATAAAACAGAAGAAATATCAATGAGAAGTTACCTACTCTATGGTCAGAATGCAATAAAAAATGAGTTATATTTGATACATTAAAAAATTTAAAGTGAGAATGAACATTTTAGCTCTCACTATGAGAATTGACAACTAAAGATGGCCAGAGCTGGGGATGACGCCTCTGAACACAACCAGGAACAATCAATGCAGATCAAGTTTACTCTCGTGATACTGGCTTTCCCCTAGAACTGTTCTCAATATTGTAAGTTCCAAAGTGGAGACATAATCATGAATAATGGTAAAGAAATAATACCATTAAATGTACTAGGAACAAAAGACATCATAAAGTGTGTGGGCTTAGATCAGACATCTGAAGAAGAGAGAAGGGGCATAATGAAAGAAAGAAGCCATTTATAGAAATCCAAGAGCTATTTGCATCGAATGACATTCTTTTGACTAAAAAGTAGTTAGATAAAAGTCTGTTTTCATATCTTCATGATAATATTTAACTTTTACTTTTATACACAATATCATTGGAATATTATTTCACTCTGCCTATTAAATATTTAAAATATTCATTTGAAGAAAACCTTTTATTTTATTATATTAATCAAAAGTGTTCTTTTCATCACAAATTTTCCTACATTAGTTGCATCATCTTTTAATACTTATGATTGGTCTCAATAGCAAAAAGATTATGAGTATTTTGGATGTCAACTTGAGAGGGTTAATTGATAAGTGGCAATATGTGTCAACCTCAAAAAATCAGCTGGAAAATTCAGAAAGGAAAAACTTATTTTCCACCAAAGTTAGTGCCTTAAACACGTCTTTATAAAATACACAAATGAGACGGACTCAAGATGGCATGGTGAGAACAACCCAGGATTGAAGCTCTCAGTGAACGTGCGGAGGGTGAGTCAGGGCCGCATTTCCAGACGGATCTTTGTTGCCCACAGTACGGGGAAATTCCGAGGTATAAAAGAAATGCGGGGTGCCAGCGCAGTGCAGCCTGCGGCCGGTGCAGCCGGCGACTGGCGCTGCAGCACAGCAGTGCTCCACAGCGCTCCACACAAAGCACACGGGTGTGGGCGTCCTGTTGAAATGGCAATCTGAGACTTGAGAGGGCAGATTGGCATATCTAGCTGATTGAATGGGACTTGGACAGTGAGCCAGGCCAGGAGATTCCAGGGAAACAGCGTTTGGGCCAGTGCAGTGGAACAAACAAAATGGCGATTCAAAATGCTCCAGGTGGAGAGTTTCACTGTGGACACAGCTGAACCCAGGACAGTGCAGCTCGGTGGGGGAGGGGTGTCCGCCATTACCGAGGCAATCCGCCCCTACTGAGGTAAACTCCCATTGCTGACGCAGCCTGCCATTGCCGAGGCAACCCGCCACAACAGAGAGACTCCCAGGCAGGGCGTAGCCTGTGACAGCAGGGTGGAGACTGCAGCAGCAGGGCAGAGCCGGCAGCAACAGGACAGACCTCACACCAGCAAGGCGGAGCCTCGGCAGGCAAACAGTGACTAGACTGCCTCCTAGCTGGGCAGGAGAGTGAAACGGACACTCATAAAGAAAGCCCCAACCCCCCCAGAGACAGAGCATCTGAGAAAAAAAGGGTTTTATTTTTTTATCAGTTCTGCTGCAGCAGAAATAAACATAGCAGCCTAACAGCCCTGAATGAACAACAGAGCTCACAGTTCAGCACTTGAGCTCCTGTAAAGTACAGACTGTCTCCTCAAGCAGCTCCCTGACCTCTCTATATCCAGAAGACTGACATTTGGCAGGCATCATTCTGAGACAAAGATAACAGAAAAAGAAACTGGTAGCATTCCTCACCGTTCCGCAGCTGCTATAGGTGCACGCCAGACTAGCAGTACCTGGAGTGGACCTCAGCAGTCGTACAGTGCAGGGGCTAGACTGGTAGAAGGAAAACCGAGTAACAGAAATGCTTCATCATCAACAATCTGGGCGTCCACTCAGAGACCCAATCGAAAAGTCAGCAACTACTCAGACGACAGGTGGATGAATCCACAAAGATGGAAAGAAACCAACGGAAAAAGGAGGAAAACACCCAAAACCAGAACACCTCGCCTCCTACACAGGACCAAACCTCCTCACCAGCAAGGGAACAAAGCTGAACGGAGAATGACTGTGATGAAATGACGGAATTAGACTTCAGACGGTGGATAATGAGAAACTTTTGTGAGCTAAAAGAACATGTATTAAATCAATGCAAAGAAACTAAGAACCTTGAAAAACGGTTTGAAAAAATATTCAAGGAAATGATAACAAGAATGGATAACTTAGAGAGGAATATGAATGAATTAAAGGAGCTGAAAAACACAATACGAGAACTTCACAAAGCATGCACAAGTTTCAACAGCCGAATTGACCAAGCAGAAAAAAGAATATCAGAAGTCGAAGATCAACTCAATGAAATAAAATGAGAAACCAAGATTAGAGGAAAAAGCGCAAAAAAAAAAAAAAAAAAAAAATGAACAAAGTCTCCAAGAAATGTGGGACTATGTGAAGAGACCTAACCTACGTTTGACAGGTATACCAGAATGTGACAAAGAGAATGAATCCAAGCTGGAAAATACTCTTCAGGATATTATCCAGGAAAATTTCCCCCACCTAGCAAGACAAGCCAACACACAAATGCAGGAAATACAGAGAACACCACAGAGATATTCCGCAAAAAGAGCAACCCCAAGGCACATAATCGTCAGATTCACCAGGGTTGAAATAAAGGAGAAAATACTAAGGGCAGCCAGAGAGAAAGGTCGGGTCACCCACAAAAGGAAGCCCATCACACTCACAGCAGATCTCTCCGCAGAAACACTACAAGCCAGAAAAAAGTGGGGGCCAATATTCAACGTCCTTAAAGAAAAGAACTTTCAACCCAGGATTTCATATCCAGCCAAACTGAGCTTCATAAGTGAAAGAAAAATAATATCCTTTGTGAACAAGCAAGTACTCAGAGATTTTGTCACCACCAGGCCTGCTTTACACGAGTTCCTGAAAGAGGCACTACACATAGAAAGGAACAACGAGTACCAGCCATTCCAAAATCACACTAAATGCTAAAGAGCATCAACATAATGAAGAATCTACATCAACTAACAGGCAAAACAGCCAGCTAGCATCAAAATGGCAGTATCAAATTCACACATAACAATATTAACCCTAAATGTAAATGGACTAAATGCACAAATCAAAAGGCACAGACTGGCAAATTGGATAAAAATCCAAAACCCATCAGTGTGCTGTATCCAGGAAACCCATCTCACATGCAAGGATACACAAAGGTTCAAAATAAAGGGATGGAGGAAGATTTAGCAAGCAAATGGAGAGCAAAAAAAAGCAGGAGTTGCAATTCTCATCTCTCATAAAATAGACTTTAAAGCAACAAAGATCAAAAGAGACAAAGAAGGACATTACATAATGGTAAAAGGATCGATACAACAAGAAGAGCTAACGATCCTAAACATATATGGACCCAATACAGGAGCACCCAGATACATAAGGCAAGTTCTTAATGACTTACAAAGAGACTTAGACTCCCACACAATAATAGTGGGAAACTTTAACATTCCACTGTCAATATTAGACAGATCAACCAGACAGAAAATCAACAAGGATATCCAGGGCTTGAACTCAGACCTGGAACAAGCAAACCTGATAGACATCTACAGAACTCTCCACCCCAAATTTACAGAATATACATTCTTCTCAGCACCACATCACACCTACTCTAAAATTGACCACATAATTGGAAGAAAAGCACTGCTCAACAAATGCAAAACAACTGAAATCATAACAAACAGTCTCTCAGACCATAGTGCAATCAAGTTGGAACTCTGAATTCAGAAACCAACTCAGAACCGCACAGCTTCATGGAAACTGAACAACTGGCTCTTGAATGTTGACTGGATAAACAATGAAATGAAGGCAAAAATAAAGAAGTTCTTCGACACCAATGAGAATGAAGACACAACATGCCAGAATCTCTGGGACACATTTAAAGCAGTCTCTAGAGGAAAATATATAGCAATAAGTGCCCATATGAGGAGAATGGAGAGATCCAAAATTGACACCCTATCGTCAAAATTGAAAGAGCTAGAGAAGGAAGATCAAAATACTCAAAAGCTAGCTGAAGACAAGAAATAACTAAGATTAGAGCAGAACTGAAGGAGACAGACACACGAAAAACCCTTCAAAAAATCAATAAATCCAAGAGCTGGCTTTTTGAAAAGATCAATAAAAAAGACAAACCACTAGCCAGATTCATAAAAAAAAACAGAGAACAACCAAATAGATGCAATAAAAAATGATAAAGGGGAAATCACCACAGATTCCACAGAAATTCAAACCATCATCAGAGAATATTACAAACAACTCTATGCACATAAACTAGTAAACCTGGAAGAAATGGATGAATTCCTGGACTCCTGTGTCCTCCCAAGCCTAAACCAGGAGGAAGCTGAAACTATGAATAGACCAATAACAAGGTCAGAAGTCGAGGCAGCAATTAAGAGCCTACCACACAGAAAAAGCCCAGGTCCAGATGGGTTCACAGCCGAATTCTACCAGACACACAAAGAGGAGCTGGTATCATTTCTTCTGAAACTATTCCAAATAATCCAAAAAGAGGGAATCCTTCCCAAATCATTTTATGAGACCAACATCATCCTGATACCAAAACCCAGCAGAGACCCAACAAGAAAAGAAAACTTCAGGCCAATATTCATGATGCACATAGATGCAAAAATCTTCAATAAAATATTGGCAAGCCGATTGCAACAGCAAATCAAAAAACTTATCTATCATGATCAAGTAGGATTTATCCTGGGGGTGCAAGGCTGGTTCAACATAAGCAAGTCTATAAACATAATTCACCACATAAACAGAACCAAAAACAAAACCCACATGATTATCTCAATTGACGCAGAGAAGGCATTCAACAAAATTCAGCAGCCCTTTATGCTAAAAACCCTCAATAAACTCAGTATCGATGGAACGTATTTTAAAGTAATAAAAGCTATTTATGACAAACTAACAGCTAATATCATACTGAATGGGCAAAAATTGGAAGCATTCCCTTTGAAATCCGGTACTAGACAAGGATGCCCTCTTTCACCACTCCTATTCAATATAGTACTGGAAGTTCTAGCCAGAGCAATCAGGCAAGAAAAGGAAATAAAGGGCATTCAAATAGGAAAGGGGGAAGCCAAATAATCTCTATTTGCAGATGACATGATAGTATACCTACCATACCCCATCGCCTCAACCCAAAAACTCCTGAAACTGATAAGCAACTTCAGCAAAGTCTCGGGATATAAAATCAATGTGCAAAAATCACAAGCATTCCTCTACACCAATAACAGAATTAAAGAAAGCCAAATCAAGAACGAACTGCCGTTCACAATTGCTACAAAAAGAATAAAATACCTAGGAATACAACTCACAAGGAATGTAAAGGACCTCTTCAAGGAAAACTACAAACCACTGCTCAACGAAATCAGAGAGGACACAAACAGATGGAGAAACATTCCATGTTCATGGTTAGGAAGAATTAATATCATGAAAATGGCTATACTGCCCAAAGTAATTTACAGAATCAACGCTATCCCCATCAAGCTACCATTGACTTTCTTCACAGAACTGGAAAAAACCACCATGAACTTCATATGGGACCAAAAGAGAGCCCGCATAGCCAAGTCAATTCTAAGCAAAAAGAACACAGCGGGGGCATCACACTACCGGATTTCAAACTATACTACAAGGCTACAGTAATCAAGACAGCATGGTACTGGTACCAAAACAGAGATATAGACCAATGGAACAAAACAGAGGCATCAGAGGCAACACAACATATCTACAACCATATAATTTTGATAAACCTGACAAAAACAAGCAATGGGGAAAGGATTTCTTGTTTAATAAATGATGTTGGGAAAACTGGCTAGCCATGTGCAGAAAGCAGAAACTGGACCCCTTCCTGACACCTTACACTAAAATTAACTCCAGATGGATTAAAGACTTAAACATAAGACCTGGCACCATAAAAACCCTAGAAGAAAATCTAGGCAAAACCATCCAGGACATAGGAGCAGGCAAGGACTTCATGAACAGAACACCAAAAGCATTGGCAACAAAAGCCAAAATAGACAAATGAGACCTAATGAAACTCCACAGCTTCTGCATGGCAAAAGAAACAGTCACTAGAGTGGATTGGCAACCAACAGAATGGGAAAAAATTTTTGCAGTTTACCCATCTGACAAAGGGCTGATATCCAGAATTTACAAAGAACTCAAACAGATTTACAGGAAAAAAACAAATAAGCCCATTCAAAACTGGGCAAAGGATATGAACGGACACTTTACAAAAGAAGACATATATGAGGCCAACAATCATATGAAAAAATGCTCATCGTCACTGGTCATCAGAGAGATGCAAATCAAAACCACATTGAGATACCATCTCACGCCAGTTAGAATGGCGATCATTAAAAAATCTGGAGACAACAGATGCTGGAGAGGATGTGGAGAAAAAGGAACACTTCTACACTGTTGGGAGTGTAAATTAGTTCAACCATTGTGGAAGAAAGTGTGGCGATTCCTCAAGGCCTTAGAAATAGAAATTCCATTTGACCCAGCAATCCCTTTACTGGGTATATATCCAAAGGACTATAAATCGTTCTATTGTGAGGGCACATGTACACGAATGTTCATTGCAGCACTGTTTACAATAGCAAAGACCTGGAACCAACGCAAATGCCCATTGATGATAGACTGGATTGGGAAAATGTGGTACATATACACCATGGAATATTATGCAGCAATCAGAAATGATGAGTTTGTGTCGTTTTTAGGGACATGGATCAATCTGGAGAACATCATTCTCAGCAAACTGACACAAGAACAGAAAATAAAATACTGCATATTCTCACTCATAGGCGGGTGATGAAAAATGAGAACACATGGACACAGGGAGGGGAGTACTAAACACTGGGGTCTATTGGGGGGAAAAGGGTAGGGCCAGTGTGGGGTGGGAGACCTGGGGAGGGATAGCCTGGGGAGAAATGCCAAATGTAGGTGAAGGGGAAAAAGGAAGCAAAACACACTGCCATGTGTTTACCTATGCAACTGTCTTGCATGTTCTGCACATGTACCTCAAAACCTAAAATGCAATAAAAAATTTAAAAAAATAATAAAATAAATTAATTAATAAAATACACAAATGCCAAAAGAATAACTATCGTAAGCATTAGATATCATTGAATAACTCTAATGTATCAACAATTCTTTAGAAATTAAGCCTGTTTTGGGGTACAGCTGAAAACACAACTCTTGCTGACAAGCCTATTGCTAATTCCAAGACATTTGATTCTCAGCTGACTTGGGGAGAAGCATAAACAGGGAAAGTATCACTGCAGAAGTAGGAGTCACAAAAATCACTGGACAGACATGGTCTACAACCATGTGTGGCCAGTTTTGAAAAGCTCTAAAAATTGTATGGAAATATTTTTTGTTTATATTTTGTTCATTTTATGATCACCTCAACCATGAAGATATGAGTATGATACCCTTTTTCTCCAGGTTTGCAAGGCTTTTGTTAAAACCATGATATCCCTGTGTATCACAGGAAAGAGATTATAAGTCACACTTATTAACTGTGTCAAAAATTAAATTTGAAGGAAAATTTTCAAGTGGGAACTGAAATGAGAAAAAATGCATTTTTTCTCCTTATGTACGCTGATTAAAAGCAATTGAGGTTCTTTCTGACATTATCCTCTACCCTAAATGCATAAAATGCAGAACTTTGCAGCATTTAAAGTGCTTTAATATCTTTGTCTAACATTCACGGACACAGTGATTTTGTACTGTAAACTTTTCTTGATGGGTTTGTGCTCTCATTGATCAAAAATGGACAATCATCATTTTTTTTCTGTTTCTAGTTGACCTTACTCCATTCTCTGGGCCTTCATGTCAGAAACATAGACAATATGAGGGCACTATCCCTACTGAAATCAGACAATGCTAACTTGTCTATTTTGACAACAAAAGTGAAATATCCTTGTCACATTTGTGAATATAAGTTTCAATAAGCAGATTACAAATTTGAAACTTTCAGAAACTATGTGGATACACAATTTAGATGACTTTTTAAATAAAAAGGGAATGTTATGTCCTTCAAACTTTGCAAATAATTATTTTCTCAATATAATAAATGTTACTCGGCTGGGTGTGGTGGCTCAGGCCTGTAGTCCCAGTACTTTGGGAGGCCAAGGCAGGTGGGTCACAAGGTCAGGAGTTTGAGACCAGCCTGACCAACATGGTGAATCCTCGTCTCTACTAAAAATACAAAAATTAGCTGGGCATGGTGGCACATGCCTGTAATCCCAGCTACTCAGGAGGCTGAAGCAGGAGAATTGCCTGAACCTGGGAGACAGAGGTTGCAGTGAGCCAAGATCATGCCACTGCAGTCCAGCCTGGGTGACAGAGTGAGACTTCATCTCAAAAAATAAATAAATAAACAGAATAAAAAATAAAAAATGTTACTCTTGCTAATACAGAGAACATTTTGTAAAATTTAGTCTATTAATAAATTAAATTACCAAATATTCAAATTGAATTTATGTACTTGCAATCATGGTTAATATTACAAGCTCCTATACCTCTTAAACCTAAGGGGACTAAGTACAGGGCACTAACTATAGTAACTAACCTTTGCACACTAATTATTTTAAAATGTAATAAATTAAAACACGAACACTGGACAGATTTTAACAACCTGAAACATATCTGTATTAGCATTAATGTAACATAATAGAACAAAATAATTTTATGGTCATTTGCTAAAAGTTAAGTAATATAAAATGTTAAAAAGTAATCTCATGTTTAATGACATATTTATTTTAAATGGTTAGAAATACTATAAACATACTAAGGTATTTTAAAATTTAAACAAGAATGACTAAATTGTTCAGAATTAGCTCAGAGTTCATGTTATGAAATGTGAAATTTAACCTAAGAGCATCATAAATTAAACTAAGCAAAGTAAGAAACAGTAAAATACAATTGCAACGCAAATACAATACTACAAAATTACCAAGATTCTGTTTAAAATTAGCACATTTATGACTTCTTAAGATTTATAAAACCTTTTGATTTGGAAATATCTACTGTACTTATTATTCACTGAAATATGAATTATGAGAAGATTATTCTCCAGCCCTTAAGTGAAAAAATCCTGCCTCATTCTATCACTCACCTGTGTCTTGCACTTCCACTGTTAATAATGCTGACAGATAGACATTTCCCCAGTAAGTCCTGGAGTGAGTCCACATATGAAGGATGAGGCTCACAAGATATCATTATAAGAAGATAATGCCATCAGCTCATCTCCCTCCAGGCCCATAATTTTTATGTCAACTGAAGAAGAAGGACAATATCTACACATATTATGATGGAAAACGAAGTCACCATAGGGAAAAAGGAACTTAAATAATTTTGCAAAACACAATAGGAACAGCTGTGCTCCAAACTTTTTCATATGTGAGCTCATGTACTCTGGCTCAGTGTATTTGATCTTCTCAGTTCTTTAAACAGCACATGTCTCCCAATAATCCGACCTTCAAAATGAGTAAAATGCAAAGTCAAATTTCCCAGTGTATTCCTGCTGGTTCCAGTGATTCAGTGTTCTTCACATATGTCACTCAGTGGCCTCTAGTTTTTAGGGTCCTAATTAGATCAAAAATGTCTTTGTGGAAATCAGAAAAGTGTGATTTCTATAAGATCTACATAGGCAAAGTGTTCAGTCCTCCAGAGGATACATCTCAGAACAGCAGATATTGGGAGCAAAATGAAGGTTGCTTTCACCCCTGCCCCTCCATTAATTTGTTCAGTTGCATTTATTGAGCACAGAAGGATAACTTTATTTTAACCCCTGTGAGTTTGGGACTTTTAGTGAGTCTGTATCTCTGTGCTGTTATCTTAAAAAATAAGATAACGCTTCACATTTCCCATCCCCCTAGGTTTAACAGAAAGGCTAGAAGGGATGGGAGTTGCTTATGTCTCTTCCCTCACATGAAGGGATCTAGTGGTCCAAAGTAGAATATTTCTTTTCTCCCCCACTGAAAACTAGAGGAGTCTTAAGATGGCTGTTTCCCTTACCTCAGCTTGGTTAACCTTTGACGAAACCCCAGTAGGTTCAACTCTGCTAAAACAATTTTATACCTGTCAGAGCTTGGTAAGAACAGAGTACACTGAATGACTT